TGTACTTATTGTGTCAAAATTTCAGTCAGAATTATCTCGACATCATTAGTTTTGTTTCTTTCAGAAATAGCATGAGATTTTGTAGATTTATTTGGAGAAGTAATATAAGGTTTTATTGCCCCATATACTGATCTCTTGCATATGTGTACTGAATTCGTTTATCTTGTTGGTGTGCTGTCACAGTACTTATCGCATGTCTGTGTGTGAGTTAACACAGTTAATAGGCTTATATTGTTTGGTGCCGTTCTAGTTTGAGATAGTAGAATGCTCTCAGTCAATGTCAGAATAGGAAGAATGAAATTCAGTGTCAAAAGGAAATGTTTTCCAAGCTTGCTGAAATACCTTCATCCTGTAGGAGTTTGTCATACTTACCAGTTTTTGATGGCTTCCACTGTTTTTGCCCCAGTTAAGGCACCAACAGTGTTACCTACGTACTTTCTCCATCCAGATTTATTAGGCTCCCTCGTATTTTGGGTCAACTTTGACCATAAATTTAACTTATGAAATATGAACCATATGTCACCAAATTATATCGTGGAAAACCTCTTCCAAATACAAATCCAATAGTTTACCTTTTGTACTATATACCTCATTTTGTGGGTCATATAGACGGTCAAAGTTTGGCACAAAATAAGACTGGCCCAATAAACCTGGACTGAGGAAGTACTAATCAAGTGCAGCACCTCTATCTGTGTTCCTATCATTTGGTACTTTTGAGTTATTGACTTCATAAGAAAGCACTTGTTTTGGTTTCCTATAGATTTTGTCATGTGAAAGTGTTACAAGCCTGGCAGAATTGTTCGGTTGATGTACATGCCACATTCGTATGATTCAAAGTTTTATTTATCATATTCCTTTTGATGCCAAACACTCTCTATTGATGCATTCCATGTGTTCCTGCTAATCCTTAACAGGATGGATATACATGGAGGATGAGCAGTTCCAGTTCATATCACGTCTGTGCGGATCCACTGTCACTTCTTGGAATAGTGTCCCTGATTTGCCAATATCTTCCCATGGTGGTGAACTTCAACAGAAGAATGAGGAAGCTGCTGTCATTGAGTCCAAGATTAGTCAGATAAGGGACCTTCTTCCTCATTATGGGAAAGGTTTCCTTGCCGCTTGCTTGGAAGCCTACAACCAGAACCCTGAGGAAGTTATCCAAAGGATACTAGATGGAACACTTCATCAGGATCTTCTAGCTTTAGATACCTCGTTACAAGAGATGCCACAACAACAATCTGCACCTAGTGTTGCGAAAGATAAAGGCAAAGGCGTACTAGTGGAAACTATTCCTAATATTGCAAATAAACCCCATAAAGTTGAAGCCCAATCTTCTTCAGTCTCATCAGCATCCAAGGCTCCTATCTCATATTTATCTTCAGTTTCATCAGCATCCAAGGCTCCTGCCTCATCTGTATCATCAGTTCCACAAGGTAGATTTACAAGGAAGACCAATGATGATCTGCCCAACTACGCAGTTCTAGACTCGCAAAAAGCCAAAGATGCTGTTAAGTCAGCTGTCCTTGATTCCCAGTATGAGTACGAGGATGAGTATGATGACTCGTTTGATGATCTTGGCTTCAGCGTGGCGGAGTCAAGTTACGAGGAAGCAGAGGGCGCCAATGATGCTGAGGGTTCCTCCAGTGGCCCACGTTGGGCTTCACAGAAGAAGCCACAGTTTTATGTCAAGGACGGGAAGAACTACAGCTACAAGGTTGCTGGTTCAGTTGCTGTATCAAATGCTCGAGAGGCGGCAGTCTTAAACAATACTCAGAAAGATACAATTCATGGTCTTGGTCGTGGTGGAAATTTACCTATTGGTGGAAATTTACCTATGGGAGTTCCCAACAGGCAACATAGAGTTGTGGAGGAAGAGGAGGGTGGTCATGCAAACAGCTTCAGCAGAGGAGGCTCGAATCCCCGTGGTCGGGGCAGGGGCAGAAGAGGTGGCTGGGATCAGGGTAACCCAGCGGAGGAGAATGAGAATTCTAGTGGCCCACAAAGTTTTGGCCGTGATGGAAGAAGAGGGGGCAGGAACCATGGCAACCTACCAGAGGTAAACTATGGTCAGCAAGGTTTTGGCCGTGGTGCAAGAAGAGGGACCAGGGATGAGGACAACCGGCCAGAAATGAACAACCAGCAAGGTTTTGGTCGTGGCGCAAGAAGAGGGGCCAGGGAGGAGGACAACCGGCCAGAGGTAAACAACCATCCTAATCCCCAGCAAGGTTTTGGTCGTGGCGCAAGAAGGGGGGACAGGGACGAGGACAACAGGCCAGAAGGGAATAACCATGGCCAGCAAGGTTTCGGTCGTGGTGGAAGAAGAGGGGACAGGGACGAGGACAATAGGCCAGAAGTGAATAACCATGGCCAGCAAGGTTTTGGTCGTGGTGCAAGAAGATGGGACAGGAACCATGACGATCCAGTGGAGGACAATGAAGATGGTAATGCAGCACAAGGTTTCGCTCGAGGAGGGCCAGGCCCCCATGGAGGCGGCGGAAGGAGAGGCGGCCGGAATCATAACCGGAGGGATCAGGCGCTGAGGAAGCATATGCAAGGAATGACAGGGCTTTAGCTCACCACCGTCTGAAGTTCAGCAGGAAGTGTAAATTCGTCCAAGTGGTTTTGAGGGACAGATGATGTTCACAGAAGCCAAGCATGTATTTTGGTTGTTCCAATTACATTGATACACAACATGCAGCTGCAGCCCCCATAGATACTTTTTTTTTTTTTTTTTTTTTTTGCTTTGAGAAAGACGTTGTATGAAATGTGAGAATTCTTAAAGGTGAATTACCATGAAGTAGCTTGGTCGCGCAAGGAACCGTGCTGCATTTTTGGTACTTGAAAGGTTTATGTTGGTCCAACAAATCCATGTGGCCTAGTGCTGTGTGCCTTTGGAACATGTTATGTTTTGTATTGGATGGTGTGTGAATGTGTGGCCGCAATGGGTCACAGAAACTGGAAATGCTTTCTCTTCTTTTGAATGTAGACTGAAAATCGTTGTTGTTGGGAACCTCATCCCTTAGTTTTTACGGCACAGAAACGGGTACACTTCCTTTCTAAAATGCAGTATGCTTGACAGTGGCCGAGGCCATGGCGTCTCCAGAGGAGAATTATGAAGGCAAGGGCGACAATCATGGCGTCACCAAGGAGCCATCCATCCTTGATGATGCCACGCCCTTTGCTTCGCTCATTCACTTCCATCACGTCTCCATTCTACTCTACAGGAAGGAATGAAGGAAGGCAGGCTCGTGAAGCTTGGAATCATCATTCGCCTGGGAGAAAAAGGTTAGCGGCATACTTTCGCCCTAGTTATGCCCCCGGTGCTTTCTTTATCTCTACGCAAAGAGGGCATGCTCAAGTGATCTCCATCGATCTCCTCACCTGTGCAGTACAGACTACAGATGAAAAAGCCTGCTGCCGGCAATGGAGGAGATGATGGTGGCGGTGGCGTCGCTGGCATGCCATGCTCTCATCCTTTACCTTGACCATGCTTTTTTACAGTTAAATCGTATACATGGTGACGGTTCCCCTTTTCGCCTTTCTGTTACTTGCAGAGATATATGGAAGGAAGGATGGCCTAGTACTAGCGCTTTTCAAGTGATATATAAAGCATATCCATCCAAGGTATGGCTGATAGATCTGCTGTTCTTCCAAGCGCATGAGAAATTTGAAAGAGGAAACCTACAGCTGTTCTGATAAAAAAGAGGTTAATTTTGGGTTGTTCCTGATTATTTGCGCAGACAGAAATTTAGCGGTCATCTGAAAAATTATTTCCAGGTTACACCACTAGTCCCCCACTACATGAATCAACATAATTATACATAAGAAATGGTGCGGCCATGTGTAACTGCTGCTAGATAACTAGTGAAGCAGCCTATTTCTACATTGAAAACTACCCAACGGAAAGAGGAAGACCTTCTTGTCATTATTCTTCTTTTGTACAAAAAATTCCACATGTTCCAAACGTATACACCCCGATCTCTCCTAACCTTGGTCGTCCCGAGGTTAAATATGTGCTTACTTATCACTATCATACATTTGCCGCGGCTGCTAAAGCTATCACAGTCCATATGTGCTATGTCCATTGCAAAATTCATTCTGCATCTTCACCACCCCTCCTCCCCCAACCCCCTCTCCTACGACGACATGCTATCATCATCGTCGTCGGAGTTGTTCTGCCGCCGTTGGCCATACAAGCTTAGGACCGGCAATGGGGCCGTCGTCGAGACACGGAACGACCTCGCCGACCCGACGACGGTTCTGTCCTGCTGCATCCGGCCAACCTCCCTGCAGACGTGATCCAACATCGAGAGGAAGTCCCTCACCACCATGAATATCCTCAGAGGGTGCGCCTCCTCCTTCGCGGCGTCCCCGTGGAAGTAGTCGGTGATGTCTTTCACCCTCCCCAGAGCCCACTTCTCCTCGCCTCTCACTATCTCGATCTCCTTGTCGGCCTCCTTCAGAAAGCCCTGCATTGCGATGAAGAACCTCTGGCCCTGCGTGCACTGCCTCTCGAGCTGCAACACCGACTTGATCTTCTCGAGGCCCGTCTCGAGCTTGCTGACGTAGCCGTGCAGAACGTCGAAGTCCATGGAAGCCGCCTTCTTGACGTTTCCGAGCTCGCTGCTCAGCCCGCACACAACCTTCAGGCCTTTATCTTTGGAGCTGGTGGCCGTGGTGTTTTCCTTTTCAGATTTCGCGTCTTCCGATCGGATCATTTCTTGGACAACAAAGTGCAGCAGCGTGGTTTTGCCATCAGCTCCCTTGACGTCTGCGAGCTTGAGGAGGGTGTCAAGCTTAAAGGCCTTAGCCTCGCCCCGGTTCGTGCCGACATTCATCCGATTCCCGGTCCTCAGCACTGCTTCAAGGAGTTTTAGGAACAACCTGCTACCCCTAAGATCTTCACAAGCTGCCTGAAAACAAGTGAAGAAATGTGAGCTAACCACATGTGTAGTAGCTGAATATGAATATTGATATTTGATACTCAAGTCAAAGGATGTGCGTTATTAAAAATGACAATAGTAGGATTCAAAAACTAGCATACCTCTAGCGTTTCAAAAGACTTCCTTAGGTAATTTATCTCAGTCTCGAAATTGGCTCGGTACAGCATAGCGTCGACTCTTTTGAAGGCGAAAGGTATATCCAGCACAGTCTTGAGAAAGTGTTCCGCGGTTCCCAGCTTCGATAGGTCGCCACTGTAATCCCGCAGTTTGACCTCCTCCTCTTTCGTAGGTGCCATCTTGACTAACGTTTCCAAAAGCTCACTGCCTAAACATTCAGCATTGCCTGTTCAAATGTGGAGACCAAATAGTGTAGTTAGTGGACACTGCTATACAGAGAAATGATGTGAACAGCACAACACTCCACTGAAAAGTACGAAAACGATTATGTGTATAAATCAGGGTGAACGTTTGATTCAGAGAGCAAATTTTGGGTGTTGGACTTTGGAAGTGGAGTGAGAGGACGCTAGCCGGATGTTCACAGCCTTCCTACTAGAAAAGGATTGGTCCAGCCATTTTCTCCCCCTATTGATTTCAAGTCCTTGTATATTCTGTTGAGGTTTTATTATCAAGAACCAGAATTTCTGTTAATTCTTAAGACCTGTCACTATTGAGCTGCAAATCTGAACCTCATTTGAAAGCAAAACGTGAATCACAAAATCAGATGAAAAGAGCATCCTACCAACCAAAGCATCCTTAGTCCTTATGCTAGATACCTAATCACAATCAAACATAACTCCTCAATTTAAGGTTTGCAAACAAAATAGAATCATACTCCCCCTGTAACTTAATATAAGTTGTTTTTTTGACTCTATTACAATGTCAATAAACGTCTTATAGAGTATTTCTTAGCTAAAGAAGAGCAGAAAAAAGCTGGTTCAATTTTGCGAATGCTAACCAGATGAAAAATGAGCTCAAAATTATCACACTGGTTGCAGCACGAACACTCACCGTCCAGGAGCGCGTCCGAGACCTCCTCACGCGTGACATTCAAGGCGCGCAACAAGATGGCGATGTTCTGCGCTTTCTTGGGGTCGAGCACCCTCTCCTCCTGCCTGAACGCCGGCGCGGCGGGCTTCCTCCCGGTGTCCCTCGGCGGCGCGGCGGGCATGGAGTTGTTCATGAAGAGCGCCTCGATCATGTCCTCGTCCAACCTGAAAGAGACGCCTCGACATCACGCACAGTTCGGAGACCACCGGCATAAACGGATCAAGCTTTTATTGTGAGTGTGAGCAGGGTCTCAACTGGAATGAGCTTGACTTGAGCTGGTCCCAGACCATGGCGCGGTCGGAGGTCGCCCGCACCTTGTCCCAGTGCAGCGGCTTCAGCTTCGGCAGGCCGCCGGCCGCGTCGTCCTCCGCCCGCATCGACGTGCTCCCGTTGTTCTCCGCCGCTGCCGCCGCCGTGATCGGCATCGGCATGGCAATGCGGGGCCCTTCCGGCGGCAGCGGCTTCAGCAACCGGCGCCTGGATGTCGGCTCCCCCGTCTTTGGGGGGAGGCTGTTAGTTGACGCCATCGGTGGCGGTGGTGGTGGAGGAGGGGGCCTTGGAGCTGCGTTGGACTTGGGCGGCGCTGTCGGTGGTGGTGGAGGAGGAGGAGGTGGTGGTGGTGGACGTGGAGGTGGGTTGGAGGGTTGCACCGGCCGCGGGGATGGCGAGATTGCCTGCTTGACGTCGGGGGTGGAGCCAGTGGAGAAGCGCGTGCGCGGGGGCGTGCGCGTGCGGCGGGACCGTGGGGGCGGCGGGAGCGCGGCGATGGCGGCGACCGGGGGAAAGAAGTCGCTGGTCATGCTGGGGAGGCTGCGGCGGGAAGCCGTGGTGGTGGTGGGCGGGCTGGACGCGCTCGCCTCGCTCCACGTCTCGCCGTACACGCCGCTGCCGGCCCCGCCGCCGGCGCCCGAGCCGGAGCCCCCCGAGCGCTGCCGCGGCGTGTAGTACGCGTCCTCGTCGGAGGAGCCCATGGTGGTGGCGCGCCGCAGCGGCGGGAGCGGCCGGAGCTCCGGGCTCGGGTGGTCGGTGGCCTCGTCGCGGCACACCGCGCGGCGCGCGCGCTCGTTCCGCAGCTTGCGGTACGGGGAGCCGGCGAGATCGGCGCTGGTGGGCCCGCGCTGGTGCGCCGGCGTGGTGGGCTCCACCGTGCCGACGTAGAGGAAGTCGGCGGCGGAGGGGGCCGTGCGGCGGAGCGCCGGCCCGCCGTCGGGGCCGAGCAGCTTCTGCGAGTCGCAGCGGCGGCGGGCGCGGCCGGTGATGAGGAACGCGCAGGCGAAGCCGAGCAGCGCGACCCCGGCGGCGGCGGCCGCCCCGGCCGCCACTACGGTCGCCTTCTTGGGGCCGTGGCCGGCAGCGGTGGGAGAGGGCGGGGTGGAGACGTCGGCGGTGACGGTGTTCGGGGGGGACGAAGCCGTACCGCCGCCACCATCACTGGACACCGGCGGTGCGGGAGGGAAGAAGTCGCCGGGAGGGGCATCGGGCGTCGCCACGGGAGGGGCGTCGGGCGTGGCCACGGGAGGGCTGGGGTCGGAGGTGAAGTCCGGCGCGGGCGGAGGCGGCGGCGACGGGGGCGGAGTCCACTCAATGGGAAACAGCGGCTGGTGCAGCACCCGCCTGGGGACGACGGCGGCGGCAGACACCGCCGGCGAGAGGCACCCGCACAGCACCAGCTGCGCGAGCAGCAGCGCGATGGCGGGAGGCATTTGGCGGGCGGCGCGAGCGGAGAGCACGCACGCACAAGAAGAAGAGGATAAAAGCCAAAGCCAGAGCCAGAGCGCAGCTTCGGGCCCGCTTTCTAGAGTGAGAGAAAGACAGACCGGGAGGGGAGAGAGTGTGAAGCCGAGGAGAGAGAAGACGCCGCCATTTTCGGGCGGGCGGCTTCGGAGATGTACTAGCATATGCGATCGCCACCATGGGCGCTCCCGACGGTCTGGTAATCTCCTCTCCATACGTACTACTACGTGGCGCCCCCGACGGCCCGAATCTGCTTTGCGTTGGCTTCTCTTTTGCTTCTTTTCCTCGCCGCTTTTCTTCTCTTCTCTTTTCTTTTCTTCGGCGCTCCGCTTTGGCATCCCACTATGAAAAACAAATGTGTAGATCTAACCTCTTTTTCCTGCCCAAAGTTTAGTGTGCAGGTGCTAATGTACAAGAACTTTGATCGGACTAGGGATTTCGCGCCGCGTTTAGGAGGTTTTGGTGGATTATAATACGGCTCCTGGTAGGTTGGTACGCCCGCCGCGCAAGGTAAAGGAAAGGAAAATATTCCACACATGCACGATACTTTGCGTACCGACAGGCCAGCTCTACTCCATATCAACAAATGGTGGTACAGTACATCAGTAATAGTACTTCTAGTATCTTTGTGAGAGTAAAGACCATGTGGGCCTTGCCGATTAAGAGCGCGCACCCGTTTTAATTTAGTACTAGTAGCTTCTTTTGACTGGCTTCATTACCTTGATCCATTCATATAACGTTGTCAATGGTGTCCTTGATCCAAAGATGAGAAAACTTAGCTAGGGTGTGAGTTTCAAAGGTAGAATCTCCTTCAAAACTGTAGGCGCAATCGATGAACCCTGACTTTCGAGCTATTATCACCTTTACGATTGAATAATATGTTCCTACTGAGAAATATTTTCAACAATTTGATTAGATTATGACGCATTGATCATCTTCTGGAGAGACAAATCTTCCGCTAGTGCTAGAGCCTCTCGACTTTAAGTGGTTGTTGGTAATATATATTGATTATCATTTCCATGTTTATATAATCGGGGCCAATATTTTACTTTCTTCCTCAGCCCGTCGATAACCCGGCGGACCGGCCTTGAGTGCAGGACGCATCGTGCTTTCATGGTTTGCAAGGGCATGTTAAAAAGGTCGAAGTCCTTGAAGCC